AGTTACTCCGAGGTGATGAGCCTCAACGAGCACTCGATGCAGGCGCTGTCCTGGCGCAAGCTCTACTTAAGCCGCGCCAAGCTCAAAGCCTCCAGCCGGACCTCGGCTCTGCTCTCCGGCTTCGCCATGGTGAGCTCGGCCGCCCTGCCCTCCTCCCCCCTTCCTGCTTCGGCCGCTCCCGCCCGCAGCCCCGACGGGGCCCACTGTTGGGAGCGGGCTGGGCGTGCCTGGGGTGGGGGGGAAGAGCTGGGATAAGCCGTCGTGAGCGCCGGAGGGGAGCCAGAGGCACTGAGCTGTGAGGGAGAGGTGGACGACCCGAGCGGGATGCCCAGGCGCAGGTGTTTTCAGACGGGCACCTTGTTGCGGTAAAGAGGTTAGGGTCACAAAGTGTTGCTTTTCTAAAGTTGATATGTAAAAAGTCTGAGCTGCGTGTGTTCAGGGGGACAGGTAGAACGCAAAAGGTCTGGTCCACTGAGGAGGACAGGTGTCTGGGGATGGAGATGAGAACCACCCTGTGCCGGGCCCTCCCACACACAGGCTTCTTTATCAAATATTGGAGGGGATTTCCCAATACTTTCCATCTCCCCATACTCCACACATTCTCACTCCCCCTTACCTCGCCCCTCCCCCCCGCATTCTCCAAGATCCTCAGCCTAGGGGTTGACAGCCACTCCCCATCCTCAGTTTCTTCTCCAGAAACTTGCCTCTGAGTCACTGGGTGTGGGGGAGGAGGGTGGGACATGTTCCCCTTGAACGGGCTCTTGCTTGATTAGGAGATAGACATATTTTCCACCCCTCAAGTCCCAGGAAGATGGTACAAGAAGCGTCTGCAAGAGGCGCCCCTGGAGGCTGCAGGTTAGGCCTCAGAAATTAATTCTGGGAATACCTTCAGGCCTGACATCTTGGAGTTGGCCGCAGCAGGGCGCTACATAATAACTACATTATTATCTTTTGGTGACATCAACCTTCATGGATGGGTTTGCCTCCCTCCCCTTCACCAGCACTCCTGCCTCCCCCGCCCCAGAAGTTAGCTAAACCCTTGGCCTTAAGGATGGGAGTGGCTGGCACCCTTGGTGTTTTCTTGGGAAGGGAATGTGTCTGGGTCTCTCTCCCTGTCTTCTGCAAACAAGTGGATCAGTGTGCAACAGTGAGCCTGGATGCATTAGAGGCTCATAGTGGACTGGGCCACTGAAGAAAGGCCAGGAGAGGGAAGACTCCCCTCCCGGCTATGCCACTTGCTGCATGTGTGACCTCAGGCAAATTTCTCTCCCTCTCTCTCTCTCTGAACCATGATTTCTGAAATGGTAAATAAAAACTGTTCTTAAGAAGTTCCACTGGGCGTTTGTGGCACACCCCTTTAATCCCAGCACTCGGGAGGCAGAGGCAGGCAGATCTCTGTGAATTCAAGACCCGCCTGGTCTAAAAAGCTAGTTCCAGGACAGCCTCCAAAGCCACAGAGAAACCCTGTCTGGAAAAACCAAAAAAAGTTCATGGACACCACTGGATGGTAGGGAAGTAAAGGTAGAAGGATCTCTGAGTTTGAAGCCAGCTTGTCAACAGAGTGAGTTCCAGGACTGCCAGGGCTATACAGAGAAATCCTGTCTTTGACGGGTCAAAAAAGTTCTGACATTAAAAATGAAGTTGAAGGAGCATTTTAGTAGAGAAAGAGGGAGAGTTGGGTGTAGCCTATAATCATAGTATTCAGGAGGCAGAGGCAGGAAGCTTGCCCACAAGTTCAAGGCTAGCCTATACATAATTGTAGTAACTTTCAGCCAGGACTACTTATGAAGACTTTGTCTTAGAGAAAATGAAGGGGTAGTTTGTAGTTCAGGCAAAACGATAAAATTCTCTTTTTCTTTTCAAGACAAAGTTTCTCCTTATAGCTCTGGCTGTCCTGGAACTTGATCTGTTTGCAGTCTCAGAGATCCACCTGCCTCTGCCTCCTGAATGCTAGATTCAGAGGTGTGAGCCACTGCTGCCTGGTCTGAGCTAGACATTTTTTATTTTCGATCTTGTGCCAAGCCCTATGCTGGCTAACTCACTCCCAGCAATCTGCTCTGTTTCTTGTCAAGGGGCTTTACCTAGGCCACACAGCTAGTCTGGTAAACAGGACTTGAACCAAGGTCAGCTGGCAACTAGTTGTTTTGTTTTGTTTTGTTTTGTTTTAATTTCTTTTTTTAATTTAATTTTTACAAAATTATAATTTCCCATGTCAATCCCTTCTCCCTCTCTCCCCCTCCCCCCACTAGTTTTTGTTTTTTTTTTGAGACAGGGTTTCTCTGTGTTATAGCCCTGGCTATCCTGGAACTTGCTCACTCTGTAGACCAGGATGGCCTTGAACTCACTGAGATCCACCTGCCTCTGCCTCCCAAGTGCTGGGATTAAAGCCCATCTGCAACTAGTTCTTACTTAAGTACTTTTGCCGCTTGTCACCACAATGCTGTGATAAGTGTCCAGCCAATGGCAGGTAGCACCAGGTCTGGGGAATGAAAAACAAAGCCAGAAAGTTGCTTTGGAAGGTAAAGAGAAAGTTTTACCCTTTGTGGAAGTGAACTACCATCTGTATCCTCTTCCTTCTTCGGGTGACATTCTCCTTCAGTTGACACTTTCCTAGTCTCTCTTATTCTCTCCCTCTGTAAGAGGAGAGACCTCCACTAAAAACAGTGGAGGACTTAAAAGAGTAGCTAATAACCTTGTGTGGGCGTGGCACCTCCACACTGTCAGTCTGGGAATTTTGTTTTCTCAGCCTGGGTGGAGTAGGCCTCAACTCCACAGTAGCATCTCCTACACTCTTCAGACTAGGAAGGGTTGAATCCCAGGACAGCCTCCATTATGAGCAGCAGTTTAGATGGTGACTAAGTACTTGCTGTGAAGCAGGGGTCTCCTAAGACCTCTGGGTGCTGGTCTGAGGTCTGATTGTGCCCTGCCCCCACTACTGACACCCAGCCCTTGAGTGAGCCTCAAGAGAGGAAGGGGTGCTTGGCCACCCCAGTGCCATGGTAACAGAATGACAAGTTTCCTGGATTACTCTTGCTTGGCTTGTGAGTCAGCACAAGTAACTTCCTGCCCCCAGAGGGCTTCCTTCCTGCAGACCTGGAAGAGTGGAGGAGCTGGCATGACCCTTACTCTCTAGGATTAGCCAGGTTGCCTAGAATGCCAAATTCACCTGCTCATCCATAGCTGAGGGTGAGAGAGAGTCTCCCAAGAAGCCTAGGGGAGACTGACCAGTTCTAACTTCATAAAAGAAGAGCAGCTAGGTACCTGTAACATGATGAGGGGAATGTCTTTGAGGTTAGTTTTCTCATATGTAAAGTGGGCAGATCCTAGACGCTTGACTTGAATGAAGATTCATTTACAAGGGCTCATGGCAGGGTGGGAGGGTGAGGGAGGTGGGGAGGGGTGGCGAGCAATTTCAGGATCTGGTGATGTACCCTGTTCTATGATCTGGGGAGACTCAACAAGATACAAAATGAACCTGAACATAGGGTAGATGTGCCTCTTGCAGTGTCCCTGGAGCCAAGAGTGACCTCTGGAACCTACCTTTAGTCTGTCTGTAGGTAAGGTTACCACTCAACAGCGTGGGCCTGACCCTGTCTCTGCATAAGTATCGTGGTGATGATGCATGGTCCACTGAGGAGGGCGGGCTGTAACGTTAGCCTAAGCGGACGATAATTGGGAAGGTCAGCCTGGTGCAGTAAACAAAATGCTTTCCATGACCTGGGATCAATTATTTTTGGATTATCTTCCTCCTCAAGTTCTGCCCGCCAGCCCCCTTTTGTTCCAGGTTCCAGAGCAGGTTAGAAGTTGGCTGAGATTTCTGGGAAAATGAGTTGGAAGGAGGCACTCAAGTCATGAGACATTATTGTGTGTTTATGACATACTCGGAGTTCAGGGAGGCCAGAGATGAGCAAGAAGCTACTGTTACTGCTAAGTACTAACCCCAGAAATGATCGTTAACTGGAGTTGATAAGGCTCTTGCACTAGGCTAGCCACAGCGCAAAAATGCTCTAGAAGTGTCATTATGTCTTCTTCCTACAAGCATAGTTGTCCCCGATGAATGACTTGCCTCAGTGAAGCCCCTTGGTTGGGAAAGCAGCTGGAGCCTTCTGAGTAGCACAGAGAGAACAAGTGTCAGAGAATGGTAAAGGCATAAAGGCCAGGAGCTCTAGGACAGAGAAGTAGAAACAGGGACTGTATCCATCCAGCTGGGATGCCAATCTCAGCCAAGCTCTTCAGTCACTTGGCCTCCTTGGATCTCAGTTATCTTGCCTGTAAAAGGAAGTAATGATAACAGTAACCTGGTTGGTGTAAGGATTTGGTGGGTTGGTATTTACAAATTATAATACCTGCCTTGGTATCTAGGAAACTTGTTTACCCAAGTTTCCATGGTGTGGGGGGCTGTTTTTGAAGAGTTAGCTGAATTAGAAGAATGTGATTCTGACTGAGCCTTGAGAATGGTGGAGTGAGGTTTGGAGAAGAGCCTAGTCGGAGGAACTGGCAAGAGCAGTCACAGGCATCAGTCACCAGGCCTTCAGGGAAAGAAAGGGAGTCTGGTGTGACTGGCATTGTGCCACATACCAACTCATTATGGTGCCACGCATGGTGCTACACACCTTTAAGCCCAGTACTCAGGAAGCGAAAGCAGGTGGATTTGAGTTTGAGGCCAGCCTGGTCTACCGAATGAGACCTTGTCATAAACAAAAGCTCTATGGTAGACGCCCTTGGTTGGTTGTTTAGGAAGTTTGAACTTTTGTGTGGGTAGTAGGGAGCTACCAAAGGTTATTGACAGAGGAGTGGCATGAATAGAGTGGTAGTGATGGTAAAAGTGGTTATTATGCAATCTCTGTTGTGTCTGGAAGAAGCCTGGACCCCTTCTTTCATTCTTGTTTAAACCTCACAGAAGCTCTTCAAAGCATGAAATCCACGCAGGGAAACGAGGACTCTTAGCAGCTCAGATCACCAGTTAGTAGGGCTCAAGTTCTGGTGTGTCTAATTTGGAGCCTTTTCTCTGCTCCCTGCCTTGCCAGTACCCCCTTAGCTGGTGGCTAACCAGGCCTTTGGAGCCTGCCAGATGCCCAATTCTGCATGCAGGATTTGTACGATGGGCTGTGTATAAATGGAACTCTGCT